GGAAGTGAGGTGGGGAAAAGATAAAGCAGCAAGGGCTCAGCGGGAGTCACCTGGATACAAAATAAAGATTAAACAAATGCTGCAGATTTAAACTTGCTAAAATCAAGTGCGGTACACTTTAGTTTACCAGTAGTTGGTTTACTACTCATTTCTTAAAGGGGACCTATCATGCAAAATGCACTTTTGTACGTCTTTTCTACATGAACATGTGTCCCCGGTGTTCCAGGGAACTCACCAAGTGTCAGAAAACACAACCCTCTCTCTTTCCCTCCATACCCAAATCTCTTAAAAAGGGGCTGCAACGGATCTGATACAGACTGATCCAGATTTGAACACTTCTATGACGTCACAGAAGTGGTGCTACGGCTATTGGGCCAACTCCACCAATCAGGAGGAGACAGCCACGGACATTGCCGTTGGAAAGCGCTGGAGACGCTGTAGTACATATGCCAGGCCTGTAGATGGTGCTGTTCTCACAGAATCAGCCCATGATACAAAGACAGTGTTAAATTGAGTGAAATGAGGAATGGCTAAAAAGCATGATCTGTTTGGTATTTTGAAAAATAAAAAGTATAAATATGCCTTATATAGGTATGGTCCTACACTATATTATTCAAATATAGCATGATAGGTCCACTTTAAAGGCCCTGCACACCCATACAGGTGTATTCAATTGAAACAAAGCATATTCTCACTAGACTCGACTGAATCCACCACATTTAGATAAAAGCAGTGTAGGTATCCCTTTAAACGCTTGAGGTGAATCCTTTCTGCCAGACTCTTAAACATAGGACATACAAACTTAGTGAAATAAAAGAAGATCATTTGGTGTCTGTGCCTTCTTCACAGCGAATCACAAGCCATGTGAGTGTCGGCTTTGCTGCTGGCAACGTTGAAACCCAGAGGTATAAGTGGAGAGGAGGTAAAAACTTCACTAATTGGTTTGCAGGACGGTGCCAGGTCAATGTGGCTTCACTGCGGCTCTGATGCTGGCCAGGGCCAACAGGTTAGGATTCAGGCCACGTTCCCGCCTGTAGCAGTGAGGAGAAGTGCCTTTCGCTGTTAATGAGATAAACACAGACATTAGAGCGGCTCAGCGGGAGCTCGGAGAGGGCGAGAGGAGGAAGAGAAAGAAGTAGGTTGTGAGACGGAGGAGGCGAAATAGCGACGGAGAGATATGAAATATTTAGAGGGAAAAGCCTTGGTTAATTTCTTCCAAGTGTGAGCTTCATTAAAACGAGAACAGAGGTGACGAGTATATTTTGTAAAATGAGACTTCCAGAATGATAATGATGATGGTGGTCGTTATGGCAGAGTTGATAAGAAAAACAGAGCCCACTGTGGCGTAACTGCTTTTTTATTGGACAAAATGTTCAAATATTCATGCTCCATATGCTGCGTGACAGCTATAGCTCTTTTTCATGTGCCCACACACACACACACACACACACACACACACACACACACAGTGCCTGCTGTGACATTATACCCATATCTATCATTAAGCAGTCTTTTTCCAGGCAAAGCCACTAATGAACACACAGGAGTAAGAATGAGTTGGTTTCACTGTGTGTGTGTGTGTGTGTGTGTGTGTGTGTGTGTGTGTGTGTGTGTGTGTGTGTGTGTGTGTTTCTGAGTCAAACAGCCTCTTTTCATCAACTCCTGCGTGAGTGTCCAAAATATATTATGGTGCTTAAACCTTGCCTTCAAAATAAAAGCATGTTTGTCATCCTCCTGAGGTTTCAGTATTATAAAGAAAGGAAGAGTCGTTCAGGTTGTTTCATACTCACCTCTTTGCATTTGTGTCTCTCTTGGTGTTGTCCAGGTTTGGTAAGAAGAAGGAAGACAAGAGCAAAGATGCTGGCAAATCCTCCAAAAACAAACTGGAGGCCCTGAGTGAAGAGGAGCTGGACAGGATCCCGGACCAAAGAGACGGGTATGAGTGGAAGGAAATATGTCTCTGTGTTTTTATACTTTCAAGTTTGTATTTCCTTACAAAGTGCCAAAAAAGCCAGAAATGTCTAAATGTCCCACAGCTATGAGCCGCGTTACGCCACTATCGAGTCTGGCCACGCCACCCCCGACTCGGCCTCCTTCCCCGACGTGGAAGACGACGACAGCGACCCAAACTACGCCCGCATCAGCAACTTCCGCCCGCCGCCATCGCCCCAGGCGTTTGTGAGTCGCACGCCCTCCCCGGCCCCGCCCACCGGGGGGTCCAACCCGCTGAGGGCCCCGGAGGAGGAGCTGGACGGCCTCTACGCCAAGGTCAACAAGTCCAGACCCCCGCCCACACAGGCAGACAGGTGATCACTCTTTATACTTTCAAGGACCAAACTTCTGCCGGTTCCCTCTTGATGTGACCCCACATGCATTGTAATACATATAAGTGTTTTTAAATGTGTGTAGCAAGTTGTGCAGGTACACCCAAGGTCACACACCATGGCTTGACCGGCATGACTGAGGGAGTATTTGCTCATATCTAAATTCATGCGCTGCCAGAAAATGCATAAAACATGAATGCATGCTTACACTGTAGCAACACCATTATTTATGCACACGCCCACACACTCTTACAGACATGCATGTTTTCCCTTCCTTTTAGGACACTGTCTCTCCCTGTTTCTCACCTTATTGAAGTGCAAACACACATAAATACATACAGGGTCCAGGTGCAGCAGAGCACGTCCTGAAAGCACAAGGTTGAATTTGAATTAAATTCTTTTCTCAGACCACCAGCTGTCTGTTCACACTACGCACTATAATGTGTTTAAGGCAGATGCTTTATACACATAAAGGATTGCGAATGGAATTACTTGAGTCAATCTCAGGTGTGCAAAGATGTTGAATAACGTATATAAATGAGTACATTGTTAACCGAGTATGGATGTGAACACGAGTTGAATTTGAAAGTTTTCCTGCATGCCTTTCAAAGAAGTGAAGGTGGAGGTATCTAACAAGCAATTTAAGTCAATACAATGTGAGTCAAACGTATTGTTTATGATCATACCCGGACGTCAGAGCCCACCGTATTATATATTACTGCTGGAGTTTCAGAGTTTAACTTGCAGCCGGCTTTGTATGGGAGACAGAAAAAAATCAGTAAATCCAGAGAGGATTCTAATGCAAATTCATCATTCCCCGTAGGAAATAATACAGCCACATTAAAACTTCCCTCAACACAAACTCTCTGACAGAAATTACTATTGACTTGCAAATCAAAAAGCTAAGCCCCAGACACCCAATCTCATCCAGAGAAAGAGAAGACACAGAGAGGAGGAGTGGGTTGGACATGGAGAGGAGACAGATGGGAACGGAGAGAGGAGTGACAGACGGAGGGACGCAGAGAAAAAGAGAACGCGGTGTAGAGAAGGAGGGGAGAAAGTGAGAGCCAAAATGGAAAGAGAGAAATGCGTAAATTCGAGAGGGAAGAAGTGACAGAGGAGAGGAAGCAGACAAAAGAGGAAGAGCGATAATTAGCCACAGTCTAGCAGCCTGACAGATCTGTTAGACCACTTTAGCTCTCATCCACTAGTGCTGGGTACTTCATTACCAGCCTGTTTTCTCCCTCTCTCTCTCTCTCTCCATCGCTGTGACTCTCGGTGTGTCCAGTCTCCATGCCCCGGTTTGCTCATAATGTATATTAGATAGTCTTTAGCATTAGCATCATGGATGAGAGGCCATCTTTGGCTTGTTAGCTTGGTCTCCAGGGACAAAGAAAGACAGAAATAAATGTCTTCTAGCGTCATGAGTGGGCGGCCATATTGCCAAAACACAAATGAAAGGTACTCTTAAAGAGGCCATATTATTCTTTTTAGGGTTCTCCCGTTCCTGTAGTGTGTTATCTAGGTTTGTGTGCATGTAAATGGTCTGCAAAGGCTAAAATCCCAAATCAGACTGGGCTCTGGTTTCAGACAGAGGGTGAAAAGAGGTGCTGCAGCACAGGCAGAATGAGAAAAATAAAGACCTTTTTGAACATTAGAGCTGAGGAGAGGACTCTTTAAAGTAGAGACACTACATACTGATTTACACCTGAACATCAGCAGGTGAGGACTCTTTAAAGTAGAGACACTACATACTGATATACACCTGAACATCAGCAGGAGAGGACTCTTTAAAGTAGAGACACTACATACTGATATACACCTGAACATCAGCAGGAGAGGACTCTTTAAAGTAGAGACACTACATACTGATTTACAGCTGAGAATTATCATGTGGGGCCCTTTTATAATGTTGTCTCCACTCCTGACACATCTTATTAATTTGTTTCCATTTGAAATGAAATCTAACAAATGCAATATTAACCATGCTTTAACACTAAGAGTGATATTCCTACCTCCATAGAAATAGAGGTATATTAATAAGTATTATCAGGTAGTGTGGCCTGATGGGATGCCACAGTCACTCCCATCCACATGCTGCCTCGTCGGCGGTTATTTTCATCCCGCCCCTCCACCTGCGGCTGGGACGAGGGCTCATTCACAAAGTCTGCACATCTGTTAAAACACAACGCAGCCCGCTAGAGGTTGGAACCCCCGTGCTTTCATTCACACAGACGTACACACAGCCAGAAATAGACGCGCACAGAGCCACCCACCTGTAGTGTTTTTCTCGGCGAGAAAAACCTGCTGTAGCCTAGCAACAATGCTGTGTGTGGTCCGGCGGCTTTTTATGGCACCACACAAAAATCCCGGGTGTAAGCGTACCTACTGTGTGTGTAAAATATATATATATATTCATGAGTTGAAGTGCGTGTCGGAGTACGTTATGTTCCCACAAAGCACTCGTTGATAACTGCGGCATGCACATTTTTTTCATTGTTTCCAAGGGAACAACATATCTTTCATCATCGTTTTAATGATGCTGCTCATTATGCAAGTGAGACATCCTCAATGCTAATCGAGCTTTATCCAAATGTTTTTGAAGGTAAATGTGCATGCCTCTGCCCACTCTGTGTTTGCATAGTTGTGCCAACTGAGACATGATAGCCCCCCCCCCCAACACAACTCCCCTCCTGTCAGAGCCTTCAACAGTGGACTCCGGCGCTGTCTCCCTAATTTACCGTTGGACATTTTCATTAGGCCTTCAATGGCAGGTGTGTGCCGTGATGGGCGTCACATCTGATTAGAGCTATGCTAGAGGCTGACCTGGGGAGAAAAAAGGTTAGCTATGCTTGTCAAATTTTATTAGCCAGAAGGCACCGCTCATAGCCGGAGCAAGAAACAGAGGAGAGGCCGAGGCAGAGAGAAGTAACGACTCCAGGGAGAGGGGTGTGTTGTCAAACGCACCGCTAAGAAAAGCAAGAGGAAGGTGACAAATAAATGAGACATCAGTGAGCATGCTCCCAGGTTTTTACAACGAGGAGTACATGCCTTTAAGTTCACCTGACACTGCGGCAAAGTCAAAGTCACTGTAGACAGCCTCGACTAATCGTGGAAACATGTTGTGAAAGAAACTACAAGCTGCTTTGGATGTAGATTTCTCATTCCTGAATAATGTTGGTTTTCTTCTTCCAGATTTCTTCCCCTATAGAGAGGAAAGACTGGAAAGCAACCAGCGTGCAAAGCCACATTATATAAGAAGACATCCACATGCAGAGAACACAGCCTGCTAGGATTTAGACAACACCTGCCCTAGGAGGAGCTCAAAGAGGAAAAACAACACATCATTAGTGTAGGCTGCGTATTAAGTCTTTAAGGCCTGTTTTATTAGAGCTCTATCTTAGCAACTTCCCTTTTTGCATCCAATCAGCTCCCAGCCTTTCCTTTGTTCATGGTCAGTTACACGGAGGACTAGTGTTAGATTGTGAGTTAATCACGTTTCATTTTTATGGCTGAGCACTTAGCCAAACACAGAAACATGATGAGTAACCTGTCTGTTGTGTTAGACGCCATAGGAAACAGTTGCAGCTCTAAAGGGGGTCTGAAGTATGAGGGCTTTGTAGTGTTAGTTGGAAGTGTAGGATCCAGTGTTTTAGAGCAACAGCCTGGAGTTCGGACAGAAAGGAACATGTGTTTATGTAGAGGGATATTAAAAAGCTTGTTGTTTCTCCATTGCCTCCAGTTTGGAGCTCCACAGAGTTTCTGTCTGACTCTATTCCCAAAACTATACCAGGAAATCAAACATTGACCACGCACTTTGATGTCTGCTTACCTCCAGCTCGCAGGCAGTGAAGAAAGAAAGTGCCTGCCTGAGCGTTTTCCCCCCAGTGTGTTGTGTTTAAATCAGCTGGCCGCAGCGAGAAGAAGTCACCAAATCAGCCGGCGGCGCACACTTCCTAATTAGTCTGCCCCCACACAGGCTCACACCACAGGATAGTTGCATTTCTCACACTCTCTCCCGCTACCCTTTCATATCTGAAGGTTTTTGTTCTCACTCCAGTTCCCCTGCTCCTTCTTTTCACTCATTTCCAACTTTCCATCTCCGTCTTTATCTCGCTGTTTGGTTTTGCTCTCATTCTGTCTTCTGGTGCATCTTTCATTTCCTGATCCCGTGTCTCATCTCCTCTTCCTCTCGTCTCCAGCCTCCTCCTGTATTACTTCCCTCGGTGCGCTCTCAGATCGACCTGCATAGTCAGATACTCTGAAATATGCATGGATTATGATGCTTGCGCGGAAAACACGTCTGGCTTAAGTGGTAGCAAATTCTGTGGTTGAGCTAATATGGCAAAATAAGACTTTATTGATGTATTGATTAGTTGCGGTCTATTTACATGTCCGACACTCAGGCTGATGCATATGAGCTTACTAGCCTCTTGGAAATAGATGCTCAAAAAGGGTTCTTCCTGAAGGGCTGAACTAAAGAATGTGGACAAGCCCAAACCCCTATGTGGTTTAGACCTCCATACATCATATATAAAAGGTTTGTTTGAGGGGAAATCCGGACAAATCCCTGGTTCCCTTCGCAATCTGACTTTAAGGTTGATTCATGTTAGATAGGAAATCTATCTAACTCGGGGGTCTGTCTACAACCGGTCTGAGCCCAGCTGTCTCTCTGTGTCAAAAACAGTCAAATCATATTACTCTATCGAGAGCATTTTAAATCACCAAAGCTTTTTTCTGTTGTGTTTATGCAACTGGTCCCAGGTTTGCAATCAGCAGCCGTTATGAGCTGCTGATGACAACAGGGGCGCCTTCCTGTCTCCCTCACACACACATTTAGGACGGAATAAATGTGTCGACTTATACACACACATCCTCTCCCTCTTTTGTCACTGTTTGGAAAGCAGCCCGCTAAAAGTGTCAGCCCATCAACCTGCTGCTCACCAAACTCTCCCCCCCCACCCCCACTAATGTTTTATCCAGCTATTAATATGATAATATTTGGCGATGTCAGTGATGGAGGCCGCGGCGTAATGAGATAATTACAGTATTGTTTCATTGGAAGAGCGACACGCACGCTCAATCAACATGGCAGCTTAATTACGGGCCCAGGGATTGGCTAATGGGTTCGGTAGAAGAGGAGTGGCGGGAAAAATAAATAAATAAACACAAGTTGGCGTCATGCATCTGTTCTCTGAGGGTCCGTTGTTTGTTTGATGGGCAGAGGGTGAGTAAGAGCAATAAAAAGCAAGTAATAAGCGAATAAATAAATAATACGGGAGATTAGGGTGTGAATATCTGAACAGCATGGTTGTTGCACTATGGGAAACGGAGATTAGCATTGATTAGCTTAGCGTTGAAACAAACCACTGAGGCGATCTCAAGAAGCAACAATTAGCACGTTGGATATATCCTTTATTTAGGAGTAGCATCGACAGTTTTTTTTGGAAACTCCCAATGGCAGCAGGCACATAATAGCGTCATTTTTCATATCAACATAGTAGCCCTAAAGTGTGTATAACTCATTATGACTCACATGCATTCTGGACATGTTCACCCTGTCACAGCGAGTCCCAAATACTCAATTACGAGGATTAACTCGACGTGGAAACACACACTTTTTACACATTCCTGAGGTTCACACTGTCAGCCAGGTTTTCTAATTAAAGGCAGGGTCACAAGAGAGACTTAAACACGTAAGCTATGTACTTCACTAATGAACCTCTCTATCTGCTCTGTGTCTCGCTCTCCTACGCTCTTTTTCGGTCAATATCTGCCTGGGGGTCAGACCATTAGCATGTACAACACAACGCCCGTTTGATGAAGGCTGCGTGGGTGTTTACCTGCCGGACAAAGGTCTTCCTTACGTGTACTTGTTTGAGTTTTGCAGGGCAGAAGAAGGGCTGCAAAGTTTGCCCCTTTTTTTTGAATATTTGTACACAGTGTATCTCCCGCAGACGAAACGGCAAACGAGCAGCATATCAGTGTCAATATGAGATACGGATTCCAATGCCGCCAGTAAACACAGATAAACAGCAGCACTGTGTCGTACTTTGCTAGCACATCCTGAGGATTGTGCTCACTCAGGCGCACCATTTTGTGTCTGGACTTTTGTGTGTGTGTGTGTGTCCGTACTCTTGTTTATGCATGCTCTGTACTCCCAGGTGTGTGTTGCTTATCTAGCATTAAGGTCCAGTGAGCATGATGATGTTTCTCTTTACATTTTGTCCCAATTCTGTCCTAGTTCTTATCTTTTCATTTTGTGTTTTTGGTCGCCGAGGTATTTTTCTTTTTCACATTTCAGTCACTTGAAGGTCAGGTGCAGTGGGATCATTCGGGTGACGACTTTCCAATGCGTCTGCAGTTCAATTGAGGAGAGCGCCGCATTGGTCTATGTCACTTTACAGTGAAAAGGCACATCCATCAAGTGCCTTTCCCTGCTTTTTTTGCTCCATTTTCCCCACCTTGGTTTCCTCTGTCAGCTGTGGAAAGTTCAGTTCATGCACTGATGTCTTCTCGGAGGCAGTACTTTGTGGATATTATCTGCCTGCCTGTCAATCTTCCCGCGCTGTCAAGGGTTGTCACTGCAAGGCAAGAAAAATACAGGTGGATTTAAGAAAAGGATGAACCTGAATGTGCCATGTTCCACCTGGCTTTTTCTTCCCTTTTTAATCCCCAGCTGCGGTGAAAATTAAACCGTTTACCTGGATTGAGTTTAGGAATTTGACTTGAAGGCCATGATGAGAACCCTGTTGGTCTTTTTACCTAAATCCACAAGATTTAGCTAATAGCTTCTCGGCAACTATCTTCCATTTTTAACACCCTCTCTGTCTGTCTGTCTGTCTGTCTGTCTGCAGTGATCCACGTCTCCAGGGGCAACGCAGGGAGTACCAGCAGAACCGAGCCGCTCCGGGATACGATGAGCTGGAAGCCGCTCGACGCAGAGCGCTGGAGAACGACCCGAGTCGGGTAAGTGTGCATGCATCTGTTGTGTGTAGCTTTTTAGTTTACAAGGAGAGCTTTTTTTCCGCTTCTTGCCCTAAAGACTGTTTTTAAATGCCATTTTCTTAATGTCTTTCATTTTTTGTAAAGCACTTTGAATTGCGTAGTGTTGAAAAGTGCTATATAAATAAACTTGCCTCGCCTTGCCTAAATATCCATCCAAACGCCCACAATGGAAACCATTTTCAAAGATTGAAATGTCAAATGAAGGAATACGTGTCTCCAGAGCCCTCCGGTGTTCCTGTGCGGCCGGCCTGTTTTCCCCCTTAGCCTTTCTCGGGCTATTTTCAGTTCCCTTGTTAACATTTTGAGGTGCCGTGTGCCACCGAGGCGCGCCCGCTCTCCTCCCCATTTAGTTTATGGAGAGATCTATTAGACCGGTGACATTTCCATCCACCCTTTCCTTTAGCTCAATACAACCTCCCTTCGCTCTTCTCCCTCTGGTATTATGGTCCTCTTCTCTCTCTTTCTTTAACATAGTTTGGACGAGGGGCCTGACATCTCCCTGCAGTTGCCTCTCCTAAGCAAGCTGCACTGCTACATGTCCCTGAGCCTGTATCGATCCGGCCTGAGGAATCATTTCATTTACCTCCGGAACACTCCCGAACTCCACCAAGGAAATCAATAGCCATTTATCAGACATTTTAAAAAGGGATCTTATTAATTGCGTGCCCACGGATGCAGAAAATCACACTTTAAACCAAATCAGAATTCTTTCAAAAGGCATTTCCTTTAAGCTTGCAAGGGAAATCTGGGATGGACCTACGGACAACACACCCAATAACCCGACGACGTGCTTCCTGCTGTGCTCGCTTCCTCGCTTCCACGTGTATATTGAGCAATGAAGCCCTGCCAACCAGTCTTCATTAGGCAGAGACACTCTCCGGCTGCTTTCCTTGAGGCCCAAAGGTCTTCATCACTCATTACACTTCCCTGTGCAGCATGTGCCGCTGCCGCCTTCAGAACCCAAACACTGATGCAATTAAAGCGCAGCAAGCGTGAGGCGCAACCTCTGCCCTCATTTGTTGTTTTTCACCCAAAAAAAAAGACAGAGGTGTGTCCACGGTGAAAGCCAGCGGGATGTTGGTCCCCTGAGGAGCCCGATAATGAAACACCCCCTCTCACAATCACACACACGTGGCGAAGAAACAGTAAAACACCTGGGAAGTAATATCAGGTACAAAAAGAAAAGAGAGGAGATGATGGAAGAATGATTGTATTGTACGAACAACTGGAAATAAATCTATATTTTCCAATCAGTTCTCAGTAGATATAGTAAACAGAACTGTGTGGATGCAAATATATAAACATTTGAGACTGGAATAAGACATTGAGTGCTTATGTGGATGGTTGCTACCTTTTTAGTTTCTGTGGAAATAACTGTGTCCACACGAGGACATTACTCCACGAATATGGACCTGTTTTCTCTCCGTGTGGTACAACTATAGCGTAAATGCGGCCCACTCGAGCGCGGCACTCTATCGCTGGCTTCGGCCTCGTGTGATCAGCCTTTTAGCTGCCGCCTCAACCACCAGCGCCGCGATGCTCTTTTATGCTATCTCTGTAGCCTTGAACGGTTCAAAAGGTTTATCCAAGCTCTCCACACAAGACCAGAAGCTCCCTCTCTGAGTGGTTTATACGTGAAAGGGAAGACGTGTGTGTGTGTGTGTGTGTGTGTGTGTGTGTGTGTGTGTGTGTGTGTGTGTGTGTGTGTGTGTGTGTGTGTGTGTGTGTGTGTGTGTGTGTGTGTGTGTGTGTGTGTGTGTGTGTGTGTGTGTGTGTCCATTTGCTCGAGAAGGAACCCACTAAGCTACGTTGGTGTAAACAAAAGCGTGGATAAAAGCTTGTGGTTCAGTATCTATTCATGTCTCTGTTTATTCTCTCAGCGGTCATCCATATACATGATCTCGAGGTGGAGTTGTCGCTGCGGGTGTGTGTGTGTGTGTGTATAGAGAGCCACGTTTCAGTGGGTGTGTGTGCAGCTAAACCCGGCCTTCAAACAGGACTTCATGTCTCCCTCCTCATCTCTCTCCACTAACCCCTCTCCCTCCGTGTCCCTGTCTTTCTATCCGTCTCTAATTTGACCCTTCCCCCTTGTTCCCTGTCTGTGTATAGGTCACACTTGTAATTATGACAATCACACTGTCCCCTTCGCTCTGTCTATTTTCTCTTTATGCTAATGATAGGCTCTCTGTAATGTCTTGATGGCCAATTAAGCCACATGGCGTTTTCTTTTCATAGACTCCTTTGTTCTGTAAGTCGGGAATAACTTTTCACATGACATTGTTATTGTACAGACGGATAAAGTTTCAAACTCAATATTTCCACAATCTACAGTAAAATGTTGTGCTTCACATTCGTAAAGGGATAGATAAGGGGTCTATTGTTAGTGAGAATGTAATTTTTTCCAACATCGATGAAGCAGAGGCCCAGATATCCCATCTTTAAATCCATTGTGTTATATAATTAAGCAATAGCTCACGACAGGCCGTGGTATATGCTCATTATATCACGGCCTGAAGTGAGCTTTTGCTTTTATAAAACGGTTACCAATTATGAAAGAAAAATACACACTCTAATTTAAATAGTTTTTATTAGTAAATAATGATGTTCAAAATAAAATAGTCCCTCCGTTGCCTTCTGCACGAAACATAGTGCAAGGTGGTTGCTATGCAACAACACTAACAGCTAGGGAACATATTAGACAGAGAGCGTTGATCCATTATTTGGCTGTTTATTTACATTAATGTGTATGTTGCTGTTTATTGTGCATCCACTGAAAAACTGTCCAGCATCAGTAGCATGGCTTACGTGGTCACTTGTATAGGTTGAGGTTGTTCGAGGCTGTTGCTTGGCGTGGCGAGAATATTGCTCCACTTTCTCCGGTCCCAGAGATTGGGCTTCCAGTAGCTCTGGAGAGAGCTTTCACACCTGTGGCCACTAACGGTCATCATTTCTCTGCTTTGTTTCAAGACCCGCATCAGAAAGCTTTTGAATTGTGGTACTTCTCCAGTTGGTCTACCTGCTCTTCACGTAGCTCTGCTTGTCGTCGTTTAGGTGCTTTTTTTTCTGGAGATAGGAACTGCTCAATCCACTCCTCCATACTATAGTAAGACCCCCCGGAGGTCGAAGTTAATCTTAAATGTTTCCATCTTACTATGCTTTGTAAGTTTGTTTCGTAACGGAAGAAATGTAAATATATTTATAAAACTGACAAGTAAAATCAAGCAATCTGATTGGTCGATGTCCCATATAGCGCAATGTGCTCTCGGTGTGTCTATGTGGACCTCTTTCCGTCCTGAGACCACGTGGCACCTCAGTGTACTGTCGCTTACGTGTTTGACATGAAATGTTTGTCTTTACTATAAAACGAACTTTAACGTGGACTCGTGAGGTTAGAAGAGGGTTTTAAGTGTGGTATACCATTCTTGGTGAAACAACTATTAACGTTTCTAGGACGAATAAGTCTTTATTGTAACATGTTTGCATGATAGGTAGATATTTGTCATAATTATGAACGAAGTCAATACAGATGACCTTAACTTGTTCGAGTTAGTTAGGAAGAGAAATGCGTCGCCAGGTCTGTATCTGTAGTTTGCGTTTGGTATAAGCACACGTCAAGGAAACCGGTAATCCCGTCCCTACGATAGATCGTATGAGAGGTTTCGCAAATTGTATTACTTAACACGTGAAAATTTCGGTTTGTTGCTACAAAAGTTTAGACATTAGTTTCTCCAGACT